TACTGGTTAACTTTCCAATTCGGAGAATTTTGATCTGATATTGTTCTGGTAGTAGGAACTTTCTTCTTTTAAATAATAATACTGATGACAAATCATGTACAAATTATTACGATTTCTACTTAAAGATCACGTTGTTTATTGTTTACCGTAATTTGAAGCAGAACCTGCTATAAGCGATCCAATACTAATCCTTTACCCAGCCTTTTTAAATAGGGCCTGTTGTGACAGTTCGGCCTAGTCCGACCATATCTCTATGGTCAGACTTAATATAAGTGGCAATTGCATCCTGCTGCAGACCGGCAGCGAGGCGAGGTCAGCCACGCTTTGCAAAAAGCAGCCAGACATTGCAAAATCGTTAATGCAAAAGAATAGCCTGGGCGATACCATTTTCGCGAAGGTAAAGGCCTAGTTTAGTAGTTGATATCTGTCTCTTATACACATCTAGATGTGCTGCCCTCTACAGTATTTCAACGTCAGGTTAAGTTATTGTAGGTGGTGGACAACCCTGGGTAAACTAACCCAGTAGTCATGGTTGGGGCGAGTGGATACAGAAAGGTTCTGTATTCGGGGGTGCAGTGCGAAGGCCTTGATAAAGTAGAATAAATGTTGTGGCAGATAATGTCCTGGTTTATTTGTCTCCTGTTTCTTTTTCTGTGGACTGATTATTATTTGTTTTTCTAGATGCTCAGATGTGCTTTCCAGCACTGGTGGTGGTGAGGGGATTAATAGGGTGGCTACCCACCCCATTCGTTTACTGTGGGAAAAAAATTATGGTCACTCGTCTTGCGTGTGTGCTCTTCGTGTACTCTTTCTATTTGATGCCTAATTTTTTTCAGGGCGGCCACCTAAGATCGTCCAGCAGTCTACTAATTCCAAAAAAAAAAATTCGAATGTGAGTGGATGTGGGTCCTCTGCTGGGATACAGTACGGTATTAAGAATGATGTTCATGGCCGTTGAGAATGACTTTATTAATTATTTTACTGTGATAGGGCTATATTAAATTCATTTACATTTTACATAAACTTCTTAAAATGTTCTTTATTTTTACTCCAGCGAAACTCTCTTCGTCCCCAACTGGGATTGGGGGTGGAACCAGACCTCATGCCTTCCCGACGGGGAACTCTATTCCCACTTAGCCCCTCTGCAGTGCCTGTCTCTTATACACATCTAGATGTGTATAAGAGACAGCTGTTCTGTTATTTTCTTCTTTTCATATTGCATTGTAAAATACCATACAATGCCATTCAAAAAGTCAATGCAAATCTTTATAAAGAAAATAAATGTGTTGTTGATAACTGTTCATACAAGGAAAAATTAAAAAATATATGGTAATATTTCTCAACACAGTGTATGGTATGATGTTATATCAAATAGATAACAACATTCATCAAACAGTATACAGTTTCAATCAGATAAGACTACAGTACTTTCAATTGATTCATGCCTATAATATGGCCTGAATTGCCACCAGATACTTATATCCCTCATGTAGTAACAAGGCTTCATCCTGATTTGCAATAGCAGCCTCAATTAATTCCACCACTCAATGTTTCACATCTTACTAATTTCTCAATGGTTATTTCTCTATTAAAAGTACTTAATATATTATTGTTTTA